TCATGGAAATGGCACAGGTATGAAAGGAGCAGGTGGAATTTAAGTGAAAACCAGAACCTGTTGTTTTTGAGTATCTTGTGTTTCTGTCTCAGCCAGACTGCCATGAGGTAGGGGACCGACAAGCTGCGGCACAAGTCAGGCAGGTAACAAGGAAGACAGGTATGTTACAGCTCTATCGTGGCTTTTTGGACTTTTAGAAAGACTGTTTACATACAGACCTCCAGGCAGAGTGGTCTAGGACAGGCGAGTGAGCCCAGGCCAAGAGCTTTGGGAACAGACTGCAAGCAGATAGGATAGAAGCTGAGTGTCCATAAGGACTCCAAAACACCGGCAGAAGCACCCACAAAAAGAACAAGAAACCGGATAAACTGAGGGGTTAGGGAAGTCGAAAGTGAGACAAAGAAAGAACACCAGATGGAGCAAGAGGAACCAAGACGGGCAGGGGGAGGAGAGGAAGGTGGAAGAGCCTTCTCCCATGGAAAGTTGTGTGCATCTGTTTACTTTGCCATGTGGATTACGCAGAGGTCTGGCTTTGCCAACCTCTCTCCTTCGGGGAGGAGAGATTTGCAGTAAGAGACATGTACTAAAGCGCTTACGGACCCCGAGGGCTGGGATGGAGGGGACCCTGCTGCATCGGGGTACATCACCATCCCAGTACAGCCCTGGCAGCCATCTGAAAGGTGGAAGCTGCAGCACGTGGGTTTTGGCAGCATCTGCTGCTGCATGATTAGGCCATAGAGAAAAATCTTCTCAATTTCCAGGATTCCATTGTTCTTTCTGTCTGGAGGGCTATGGGGAGAGCGGGTGGCTGGCGGGGGCACCCTGGCACGGGGTCCCCAACCCGTTAGCACCTGCAGAGCGGTGGGTGCCGCCTGGCCTGAGGGAAGCGGCCCTGGGGTGCTGCCCGCCGCCCCTCCTCTGGCCCCTCCGCGGGCGGGGGAGCTGCGCTGGGGGTCCCGGGCAGCCGCGCAAGGCAGCGGGTGTGCGGTCACGAGAGGTACCGAGCGACGGGGGGGTCCCGGGGGCAGGCCCCGGCGAGGCTCAGCAGCC